GATCATAAGGGGGTACCGCACGATCTCCTTTGAGGCGGCGAGTCTCCTGGCCGGCACTCCACCATGGGACCTGGAGGCGAGAACCCTTGCGGCTCTGTATCGGTGGCGCAAGGAGGCGCAGGAGTTGGGTCGATGCCCCGAGATTCGAGAAATCGATGACCGGAAATCCCAACTCCGCCAGGTCATCATAGGGGAGTGGAGGGAACGACTCGGGCAACCGAGCGCCGGGCACGCCGTCATCGCGGCGGTAAGACCCGTTATGGAGGATTGGCTCGAGAGGCGTCACGGGACCCTCTCATACCGATTGACGCAGGTGATCACTGGGAAGGGATGTTTCGGGGATCACCTGTGTCTGATCCGCAAGGAGCCAACGCCTGAGTGCCACCACTGCGATGGCCAGACCGTGGACACGGCTCTCCACACGCTGGCAGAGTGCCCGGCGTGGGTTGAGCAGAGGCGAGACCTCGTGGCGGCCATCGGAGTGGGAGTTCTCTCGCTCGATAGCCTGATTTCGGCTATCGTGCGGAGCGAGAGTGCGTGGAACTCTGCCTGTCTCCTTCTGCGAGCAAGTTATGCTCGCGAAGGAGACGGCGGAGCGGGACCGGGAGAGGTTTAGGACTCTCCCGGCCCGCCAGGCCCGGGAACGGGCCAGGCACCGCAGGCGACTCAGGCGCCGGAGGTCGCAGAACGACCTCCGTCCTCCATAAGCGCAGGCCTGGGGGTGACAGGTGAGGCCATCTGTCACCTTAGCAGAAGCAGGCCGGGGTGGCGGCGAGCGCGTTGCGAAGCGCGCTCGCTTCCAGGGAGCACAGGGAACATGGGGTTCCCACACGGGGGGGGGTCGTCTACTCGTCTGTAGATGACCCGAGGTATGTCGGGGCACCAGGGACTTCCTTTCTAGGGTATACCTGGTTCCCCGGCTATTAGTACCCGGCGACGGCGTGCGGTTTTAGTCGGTTCGAGTCCGACATGCCACCGACAGGTGGTATCCAAGGGGATTTCCGCACGGGAAAAAAAAAAGAAAAAAAAAGGCACCGATTGATGCGTACGTTTTAGTTTATATGTATATGTAGGTGGATTTCTACCGTAGTGGCTAGTAGTATTTTAAAATACACTATAAATCTTATCCTGAGTTTACGATGCCTTTATGTATAGATGTTACATAAAAGTTAAATTGTAAGGATTTCTAATCCAAACTATTATAAACAAAAGGTTAAAAACCAAAAAACTATTATAGATAAATTACACCTAGACACAAATCAAATGTTCGTGTTTATCACACAATATTCGTCTCAGGTGGAAATCGAACTGACGACCTCCGACTTAGCAGTCAATATGCGTATTTACATTTACTCGGATTTTAAAGAATAGGCAAATATGAAATGTCCATTACAAGTATAATTTAGTACCCTATCACATAATAGACACATGTTAGCTGGTCATTGATTGTCTGCTCGTGAAATAACAATAATACAGTTAGTACTCGTAATTCAAAAAATATCATTTAGTTTATTATCGTCGACTTTATTAAATCACTTAGAAATCACTCTTGAAGAATTAAAGGTGAAATTAAATCTTTCTTTTTATTAATAAGATCCATTTAATTCTTTTAATGTTTAAGTACAGGTATTTTATAACTTTCGGCCTACTAATCTATATATATAAGAGATTTCCACGTATATAGTCACTCATCACAATCTATCTGGAACCATTAGAGTTAAAGACTTGAAATTTGGTAGGAATATTCTTTTCACCGAGTAGAGGTCAGCTAATAAAGGATTTTAAGAAGTTCAAAAATAAAATTTTAGTAATGTAAATAGCAAAACAACGTTTGCAGGGTCAGCTAGTGAAATATAAAATCAAATAGCTGTCAAATAAGTTAAGCAGTATTGCAGATTGTTATGAAATAAAACAGACCTATTTGGCTTTGAGTCAGTCGATACTACCATATTGCATAATTTCGTGGGGTGGCACTGCTTAGAGCGTTCTACTCCCGCTTGAACGTGCCCAAAGAGCAATACTAAAAGTAGTCACTTGTCGCCCATTCAGGTTTCCTACTCATCAACTCTATCTGGCAAGCAAAGTAATAACAGTTCGACAGTTATTTATGTTGCACATCATACTAAAACAAAACGTGGCTCTACCATTTTACCCTGTGTTCTTAGATAAGAGAAGAAACGACACTGTATGTGTCAAACCTCAAACAACGCATACATACTTTAACAAATTTTATCCTCTCTTAGAACTTTATCTATATCACAAGATTAGAGTAAAGTATTGAAAATATATGCCGTATCGTATACAAAGTGTCTAGTAGGAGATTACTTAGGTAAGCTTAATTATGCAGACACAGAAAACATCTTAGCAATTTTAAAATTATATGATTTTAACTATAATTAGGTTATTAAACAGTAAGTAATGTGTATACAATCCAGCCTCAAGAAATTTACACTATTGATCTAATAGACCTTTACAATATTAATATCCTTTAAAATAAAACACCTAGCTCGGGCCGTTTACCAAAGAATTTGTAATACGAGTATGTTGATTTTAATTTTAAAAGTCGAATTTAATAAAAAACAACAGTATGTAGACATCTGAAAAAAATCAGAGTGATAGCATATATAACGAATTTAAAAGTAAAACTATCATAGCTAAGTAGGCTTTATTAATTTACGAGTAATAGTTGACCTACTAATTCAACGTTATAGACCGCCGAAACCGTTAATGTGAAATGTTCATAATAGGAAATAACAAAACAACAACACAACTCTTGTCTTATTTATAATTTAGTTATATCTCTTTAATATTAAAAAATCAACATATGTGGAATTAAATATATGAATCAATTTATTATACGGAATACATTTAGGTAACTGCCTCTTTGGTATAGTTGTTAGCGAATGCTATCGAACTAAACAATGTGAAGATAGTAGCATTTTATAGATCATATTAATATCCTGACGGTATTGCAGTAGGTTTTTTTAGTAAATTGTAATGGCAAAACAGCCTATGCATAATATTGGCAGATTTTAACGAAGACTATTACCGGGTATTTACAACAATACAGCAGTATTCAAATTAACACGTGACGCTGGCTATTATTCGGTATTACAATCTGTCGCTTCTGCACGCAGTGGTACTCAAATAGATAATATTTTTTCAGTTACCATCGTCCTGTGCGAGCCCGTTTTTAGAAGTTATGAGCCGCCGACTCCGTTAAACACTCAGCAAAACACCAAATATCTCTGGAATTAGTTCGCATTATTGTAATAGGTAACTACGGAACACTATATTGGGCGTGGCGCGACACGTACTTCACCCTTGTTGATTTAATTTACATTATAGCAAAACATTCGCTTTATAAATTATAAATAGATTCTGGTCTCAAAATAATAATGGCCTCATTTAGATTTTAACAAAATAAAAGTAGCAAAATTAGTTTCATGTTTTGCGATTACGCAAAATCTAAGTTTTTGATTTAGTGTCGTTTACGTCCTAGATGAGGTGCAACATAACTGAATAAATAATATTGCAAGACGTGTAATCAACTTTTGTAAAACATAATTAAAATCGTGGCAATGGGTCTATTATTCCCGTGAAGGTTTGAATGCATGATAAAAATAAGATAAAATATACTTGTTGGGGTTTCAACATTTAGCCCGAAAATATAGTCAACATTCATCTATGATATCATTTGCCTGTTTACAAATTACCTTTTAAAAAATTAAGTATTAGCACTTGTAAGAACCATGGTAGAGTAAAATCTCTATTAATATTAATTGCCGGCTGAAATTGATAATTTAAAACTTTAAAAAATAAAGTATACTGTTTGCTCCTAGACTAGGAGTAGAAAAATTACAGAATTCACTTAATAGTGATTCCTGTGATGACTGTAAAACTTTACGGTAAGCAATGGAAAGTTTCTAAAATCTAAAATCTAAAGAAAGTTTCTAAAATCGATTTTCCCCCTGTAGGAGTTTGGTAAACATACATATACATCCCATACCAGATACATAAAATACACACATACACAGAACAGTTATTTTTGAAATGCAAATAGTTGTTCTATGTGGTGGTCGAACCTTTGACGCACTCACAATTGAACTGGTAGGTATATACAAAGAATTGCGTGATCCTTAAACTCACAAAAAAGTTAGAAATCTCTATTATTGTCTATAGCTGTATTTATTTTGTAATATAATACAATAAATTGATTACAGATTGATATTTCACAAAAGTTTCAATGTCAGGTCATGGTCATGTAACTGCATACGTAAACCTAACTTATAATTTATTTGTGAAGTTTTATGTGCTTATTCTTATCTTGATGTTCTTAATTTTGTGATTTTTATTAAACCAAAGAAAAAACGTACCTAGTACTATTATTTTTTTATACTTATCATTGAGCGAACTGCTGTCAAGGATGGTTCAAGGAATTTGTGGACAATTAAAAAAATCATAAATTTAAAACCGTTTTTATTTTTTTAAAGTAGGTTTAATTTATTTATAATGGTATTTATAAGTAAGTATAAAGGAAAATGAGATATCTCGTTTTCCTTTACGGCGCTAAGTCGTGGATCATTTCATTTCGATAGAAACAAAGTATCCAAATATTCGAAATGTAGTACTAGAAGTGAATGTTGAGAATACACAAGACCATCAAGCTCACTGATTCGATTCTCTCAAGGTTTAATTTTGAAGAAGAGATTTTCCGCCATTTGTAGCCAACGCATTCTTTCATTCTTTGGACGTTTGATACGAACAAGCACCGAGAATGACACTGACACGGGGTGACACTGACAAGTTAAAAAGCTAATCACTAACACAAGAGCTGATAAAAGACCAAGCTCATAGATGTTATTTTTTTTAATTATTCCCAAAATTATGTTGATAGTTATCAACATAATTTTAGGACTTGGGTGTTGCCTGAACTGTCTGAGAAGGACCTAATGATATTTTTGTAAGTGATATTCTATAACGTTTTTTTTTGTTCACAGTTCCAAGCTGCTTTGTTGCAGAGGTGGCTCCTCCCACATTTTATGTGTCCTTTCTGCCCGTTCGTTCAAGCGTTAAGTGTCAACGTCAGTGTGTTTACACTCACTGCCATTGCGGTTGACAGGCACCGAGCCATTATCACCCCACTCAGGTAATTAATCTCACTTTCTACTGACTTTAATTATTGCTATTTATATTGATATTTATTGCATTTAAAATGGTCGATTTTTGAAAGTCCGAATTTCATGATACCTAAGAATTATAATGTCTAGTATTAAAATTCACGAAATTTATTTTACAGAAAGTCGTAAATGCGATGGGTTTGTTTTCCGATTTTCAGTCCGGTTCTTAGTCCGACAAACGAAAGTCCGATTTTAAATTCTTCGAATAAACCGCTAAAATTAAGTTTCTCATTCTGATTCAGTTAGTATAAGACTCCACGCGCTGGCTTCGCCGCCGTGGAGGCTCTCCAGCCGGTCATCACCGAGTGGGCAGGCCGGCAGCACGGGACCCTTTCCTTCCGACTAACGCAGGTGCTTTCCGGGCACGGTTGCTTCGGAAAGTACCTGCACTCGGTCGCCAGGAGGGAATTGAGTCCCGCCTGCCACCACTGCGACTGCAGTGAGGACTCGGCCCAGCACACGCTGGCGGTCTGCCCCGCATGGGCGACGCAGCGCTGGACCCTCACTGCAGTCATCGGAGTGGATCTCTCGCTACCGGCCGTAGTACGCTTCATGGGCGGTAGCGACAGTTGTTTTACCGCGGTCGCAACCTTCTGCGAGGAAGTAATCTCGCAAAAGAAGGCGGCGGAGAAGGCCCGGGAGGACGACCTCCACTCGGACCCGATCCGCCGCCGGCGAACCGGGCGGCGGAGGCGCGCTTACCTGCGCCTCATGCCGCCCTGAGTATGGCTGCGTGTGGACGGGACGGGTTTTGCCCTCCACCTGCTGAAATGGCCAGCCGCTAGGAGGTGACATCCGCGTGTGCCGGATGTCACCTAAATAGAGAATGTGCCCAAAGGTGGTGCCCGCACAATTGCGGGCAGGCGCTAGGAGGGGTCCGGATGTCTTAATAACAGCAGTTCCCGGATTCCTACTATTACAGACGCAGAATGGCACACCGTGTGGTTTTAGTCGGTCCGATTCCGACACACCACACCGCCGCAAACCCCGGTGGGGTGACGGCCCGAGGTGATTTCCACACGTAAAAAAAATATTTAGAACTGTGACCATCAGATCCCCTTTATTGTTGGTGAATCATTTGAGTAAAGTTAAGTTAGAACTGTGACCAGCGAAAGAAAATATGTGTATTCGAAAGAAAATAGAAAGAATTCGATTTTTTTTATGTTACGAATTATCGTTAAATCGGACTTTTTGTTGTTCGATTTATTGAAACTCGGTATTTTGAGCATAGTAATTATAAACGTTAGCAATACTGAAATTTTTGAATTATAAAATATGATGAATGATCAATCTTAGTTGTTATATTGGGCATTTTAAACTATTCGGAATTATGAAATTCGGTCTCTCAAAAATCGTATTTGTGACTGACGGAATACAGTTTTTTGCATTTCTGTAGTATACCCATTTCAAATATATAAATATATTAAATAGACTAGCGATGTTCGTGTCTGATCACGATCATTATGCCCTTCTTAAAATGAGTAATCAATATTATACTAGCAATATTAAGTACACATAATAACACAAGATGTGTCACTCAGTAGTTTACTGAATGAAGGTCGAACTTGCATCTCAAAAAGTTCGATAACTGAGCCCTAGCTTTATATTTGTTCAGTATTGCAAAATTATACACTAAGGATAAAATGCGATACGATAAGCTGCCATAGCAAAGTATATCCGTCATGAGAAAACGATTGTGGCATAGGAAATTTATCTTTTAACAATCGTAAAAATGTGACATTCTAAGGCATCATCATCTACTTTGAGGGCGTGTATGTGACAAAAACGAAGTGTTTAATTATTTATTTTATTGAAGTGAAAACTTCTTTAGCGGCGTTGTACACTTTTTTTGTAATGGGTAAAAAAATTTAAACTCGCGTCAGGACACGTGACCCTGATCAAAAATTCGTAAGACGGATGGAGAGTAGACGGCCGACGCGGCGTTGGAGAGGAAGTATCCCCCTCTCTTTCTACGGCGCGGCGAAAATGTATGCCTGCGCCTGCTGTTTCGTTTAGGCGGCGCAGGGCGCTTGCGCGAATGTTCGTTTTTCTGAAAGATAAACTTTTTAATGTAATATAAATTGTCATGTTTGTGTACGATAGTGCAATAAATAAATATTGTATTCTACCGCATAAATGATAGTACTTTTATACTGATAATTAAAGCAATTCGTGCAAACTTATTCCCTAACCATTCCAAAATTTAAAAAATGCACAGCGTTAATATTCAAGTTTTCACTTCTGCCGGCACTCCCGTCGTTTTTTTTTTTTTGGGTACCGATGGCAAACATCATCATTAGTTGTTAACAATTTATCAATGGTTCAATTCTGTTGTTATGATCGATCCAAAACTTTTAAAAGACAGTTATTTGTGTAATAATTAAACAGTTTTCGGTTAGTATGTGATTTGCATCTTAGCACAGGTGATAATGTTCAGATCGAAAAAAAACTGATTAGTTTTTCAACGGAATAATTTGAGTAAAATTATTAGTTTAAAAAAATAATTTGAAAAATGGGTTCGTGGCAAGTTATTGAAAGAAATCGAACAGGTGGTAAAACAAACGTTTTGTAAAGAAAAGAGAAAATGAGTTGTTGAATTGCCTTGGAATTTTTACCAGAAAACATGCTTTTATCTAAAAAAAAATGCGATTTTTCGCCCTTCATTTTCTCAGCGTGTGTGATTTGTAGGAAATTCGTGCGGGGCTTAAATTGTTGCTTTCAATGCTGTTCTTTTGTAAAAATAATATAATTTAGTCGCAAAATAATATTAAGTTACTGTACAATTTGCGAAAATGTAAAAATACTTCTTCGGTACTTCGGAAAAACCGTACGCGATCGGTAAGAAAGTATCGACGACAATTAAAAAATGGCATTTTTTTCGTTAAGAGTTGCCATACAACCTCTGCATAATTATAAATCTTCCAGATGCATGACAGAGCCTTTAAAATGTATAGAAAATCGAAGACTCACTCCGCCGCCAACTTGCCACGAACAGATTTTTTTTAAGCAATATATTCACTCGAATTATCCCGTTGAAAACCCAGCCAGTTCTTTCATTCAAATTTTTCTTATTTGAACTCTTGCTTTTGTAAAATATTCACATTCATGGTATACTGTCTCCGATTAGTAGGTGAAACCTTTCTTTTCTTAATGTAAGCATTAAAAAGATCGTTTTTAAAGATCTGGTATAAAGGTAGGAACGAGCAATATGTCCTCCAGCCGGCTACATAAATCAACTTGGGTTAAGGTTAACTGCGGAGCATACACGTGGAAATCATTTAACTTACTTCAAATTTAGTGGACCACATTAAGTTGAATATGTGTAAGTTGGGATTTGTCGCGAAACGTGGTGCGTGGTGAAAGTTGAATGATACTTAAAAAAATTGCTCTTGAAATTATACCTAATATATTATAAAATATACCTAATAAAACCCACAATATTTTGCTATCATAAATGTGCTATCTTATGGTCCATTAAATTTTCAAAAGGATACGTGTTACTCGGTTCCAAGAAAAGTGGAATGAGCAGTTTGCCTGCTGTTAGTAACAAAGTTATTTTTATTCCTTTATTTTCTCTCTTTAAATTCATATTAATTATATTTATAGGTATGATATGGGTATAAAGATTAAGCCATCTGGGAGACATATTCGAGCCATGTCAAGAAGAACTGCTTTCTACATTAGTTGCTTGATCGAGTTTTCTGAGGCGCTCTCTAAAGATTTATAATCGAGCTAACGAAACCTATAGCTAACAAAAAAATTATTACAATCTTGTGAGACAAATTCAAATATATATTTTTTTTACCTCTTTCAAACTTTCAGACAAAATCTTCAAGTAACCGAGAGTTATCATTATTTTCTTTTAAGTGTTTTTTTTTTAATGATTTTTTATCTTGTTGTTAAATAAATATATATTTATACGCATAAACCTTTAAAGGCTCAGTTTGTTCTTCATTTAAAATACCCACGTGCAAATACGCATGAAATTGTTAGGTCTCACTATGTCAATTCGATTTGTTTTTTCTCACATTTTGTTACATACGTAATGTGGGTAGAGATTCCTATTTTCATATATCTGCGACAACATACAAGTTGAGCAATTGAATCGATTGCCCACACATTTTATTCCCTGGCGGAGAAATACATGTGTTATTTCATATCTACTTCAATCTTCTGAATTTATACATAAAACAAGAGATACTATATTTAAAATACAGTAAAAATAATTGTGTAAGCTTATCTAAACTATATCTTTTATTATAAATACAATTTAAAAAGTATTGTCCTTGTAATAGCTTTGCTACAAAGCTTTGCTACTTGCCTAAATGATCTAACGATTGCAATAACAATAATTATAATCAATAACAAAGAAAATAGTTTAACCATTGTCACAAATAATAATTATGCTAATTGTCAAACGGGGACAGGGCAGGAATTGAGCCACTAGTTGGCAAATAATTTTGCCTAAGTTGTTAAGCATTTACTTATAATTGGGCAATAGATCTTAAGCCTACTACTCTGTCAATAAAGTACCAGGAAAAGATCAATAATACACAAAATGTTTGTTATTCATCCAAATTACGCCAATACTTACGTCAACGAATAATCCAATCATCAAAACATTTTTTAAACGCAGTTCTCGCCGCGAATTCTTCTTTATGTCTTCTACCGATTGAAAACGGGTGCCACGAAGTGGTAATTTGAGTTTAGGAAAAAGAAAGAAGTCGGCTGGAGCCATATCTGGTGAATATGGTGGTTGCTCGATGGTATTTGTTGAGTGCTTGGTCAAAAATTCGTTCACAATGATGGCGAAGTGCATTATCGTCGTGCAAAATCCAAGCATTTTCTTTCCACAAATCTGGCCTTTTTCATAGAATTTGCTCTCTTAAATGCCGCATAACGCTCAAATAATATTCTTTATTATATACTATATTCTTTTCTTACCTTACCTTTCTGTACATAGTCAAAGAAAACAGTCAACATGACTTTGACTTTTGATCAACTTTGGCACGGTTTTTTCGGTTTCGGTTCAGTTAGGAGGCGCCACTACGAAGCTTGTTGACTAGTTTGCAGAAAATTCAGGTCTTTTGGGACTAGCCAAGCGGTAACATGTTTCATTCCCAAATGATTAGTTAAAATGGTACGGATCGAGAAAGTGAGATACAGAAAGTTCGGCGGCTATCTCTCTCAAAATTGAATGAGGTTTCAGCCACTTTTGCGATGTTAACTTCCGTTGCAGACGTTGATGGCCTACCAGAGCGAGGCAAATCTTCCATCACATCTCGACCGCTTTTGAACGCTTTGTACCACTCATAAGCACGTGTTTTTCATAAAGTCGATTCACCGTAAGCCTTCTGTATCATTTTCAGTGACTCCGAACACGAAATTCCATTGGCGATGCAAAATTTAAGACAACTCTTTGTTCGATGTTTTTGTCTATTATGAAATACGCAATACACACGAGATATGACATAACTAAAAACAGTACTCTATTTAATATAAATAACAGATGCAATTCAAACTCCGCGCCTAAATGAAAAACAGATGTGCCAATCTAACAACAACAAAAAAAATATTTGAATTTGGAACCATAAACAAATCATCCATTCCCGATATCCGAATGTATCCTCGTGCAAAATATCTCAATGTTTCCACGCATCAAAAACATGAGCTTACGAATATGCACAGGAATATAAGAGACAATGTCTAAGGCATTAACTAATTTAAGTGCGTGTATGTGATAAAAATAGAGTATGTATTCGTTTATTAAAATGTTTTAGGTACCAAATAGTTGCTTATATTGATTGGCAACTTAACTAGCACTGCTTTTCACCTATCTAATTCCATCGTGGTCCGGCGACTTAGACGTGATGGAGGAAGAGCTGGACCGAGCCGTGAAGCGACTCGCCGCCCGCAACACCGCACCGGGCCCTGATTGGATCCCGGGCCGAGCATGGGTGTGCGCTTTAGCGGTCCTAGGGAATAGGCTGAGGCGGCTTTTTACTAGCTGCCTTCATAATAGCGTATTCCCTGAAGGCTGGAAGGAAGCCTGGCTGGTACTTATCCAAAAACCTGGTAGGGCTGCACATTCTCCCTCGGCGTTCCGACCGATATGCTTGCTGGACGAGGTGGCGAAACTCTTTGAAAGAGTTATCGCCACCCGTATCAGCCAGCACCTGTCGCGAGTGGGCCCCGACTTATCAGACAACCAATTTGGCTTCCGACAGGGACGCTCAACGCTGGACGCGATCGAACGCGTCCGCTCCTTGTCCGGAGAGGTTGTCTGTCGGGGGGGAGTGGCGGTGGCCGTCAGTCTTGACATAGTCAACGCCTTTAACTCTCTCCCGTGGTGGGCGATTAGGGAAGCACTTGTGTATCACCAGTTGCCTCCCTACTTGAGGGACATCATCGGGGTTTATCTCCGCGACAGATCCATATCGTATATGGGTCGGGACGGCGAAGATTGCCTAAGGGAGGTCACATGCGGGGTTCCCCAGGGGTCAGTCTTAGGACCACTACTGTGGAACCTCGCGTTTGATGACGTCTTGAGGACCAGCCTTCGCCCAGGATTGAATGTGTGAATGTGTGTGAATGATTTTCCACCCCGTCAACAAAAAAAAGAAGGCCTTTTGTAGCAAATTATGTAAGTCTATGTCGTGTCGTAAGATTTAAAGGTGTGTTTTAAAGATAGTATTTCGTTGCATATTCTCCATGAAGTTTTATTATTATACTCTGGCATCTTTCCAGTATTTTAATGCTGCTATTGTTGGCTAACCACCATGACTGTGTTTCGTAGTTTTGTCTAAATGGCAAAATTATTCTTCCACAAACCCCGACGATACTTGTAATCATTATCATTATTTCCTTGCCGGTTGGTCTAGTGGTTAGTGAACTTGACTGCTAAGCCGGAGGTCGTGGGTTTGATTCCCACCAAGAACAAATATTGTGCGATGAGCTCGGTTATTTGTTCTGTGTCTGGGTGAAATTTATGTATAATATGTATGTATTTAAAAATATATAAGTATGTTTATCAGCAGTCTGTTTACCATAGCACAGGCTCTGCCTAGTTTGGGATCAGACGGCCGTGTGTGAGATGTGTCAAGTTATTGTTATTATATGTTATTATTATTACAAAAAAAAAGTGCCCTGTGCTACGCCATGTTCTTCTTCATAGAACATCTAACTAGTAATGACGGTGTAAACATGGTTCGGCAAAATTGCTGGTTCTATTTTTTCGAAGGCACGAATCTCCTTTAGTAGCTCTGGTGCAGTAGCAGTAGCAGCATTATACGCGCTTTTCGGCTACTAGTCCACTCACACATATTAGATTTCATCTCTCTCGTCAACTTAAAACCCTTTTGGTTATTGAAATAGTTCGCCAGATTTATGCCCACGGATACGGAGGAGGTAATAATGAGTGATAACTGATGGTGGATGGAATGGTGATCACCGCCGTCAAAACCAAATTATTGTTAATTTTTTAACAATAAGACGTATTTATTAATTACTTCTTGAATAATTTGTGACTTCATTGCTACATCCGACATGTTCGTTCATTATTTATTCATCTTTTATATGTAAATACAAATGAATAATAATATTTGTTTACATGTGTCATACCGTTCATCTGTATCATGAATGTCTGCATACATATTGCAAAAGATACAGAAAAGGATGGCGAAAAAAGTGAATCCTCAAAACATTTCTTTTACGAAAGTAACTAGCGTAACAAAAGTTTTAGTGTGTCATATATTTCGTGTTCATAAATAGGTCATATACTTATCGTTCGATTTTCGGCACATACAATAAATTACAATATATTATACATCAAGAGCTTTTAATAGTCCATTGCTGGACATAGACCTCTCCTTATAAAGGGGGTTTTGGCCTACTATACCACGCTGGCTAGACGGATTGGTATAGGGTTTGTTTCAAGTTTTCTCTCTCTTTGCAGTGCTATTGTCTTGCATAGTTTGCTCATTTAGTCGCGGGATGAATAGGGGTGGGGACACTCCGTATTCTTAATCCATCACCACATGTACTTTTATATATAGTGGAAATCTAATATATTTAGTGGAGAGATTTATTATCCATAACTTGCAGATCAAATTGTGTCAAAATCGAATAACTTACGGCGGCGCCCGTGAGTTCCGGCGAATGGAACTAAGTTTGGATAATGATACATTGCGCAGTTTTTGAGATATGGAATATTTTCCTTACCATAACTTCTTCTTCTGAATAGTCATAGACATAAACGTCACCCAATTATGATTTTCTTGCCCCTTGTTTTACTTTTACTTCGTAGTTATACTTCGTTTCGTTTTTTCTTATTTATGTATTAAAAAAGCGTAGTTATTAGTAATAACAGCGTAACGTAAAGATAAAAACAAGTATATGATAATAAAACAAAACTAAAAAACAGAAACATGAATAATTTAGTCCGATACTGCAAATCATTCAGGTTGAATCGTACACGAGTATTGTAATCCGTGTTAGTGTTGAGTTCTACCCAATCTACTATTGCTTCTAATAAACATTATTATTACTAAAACATAGATGTTTTAATGAACCTTTCTTATATAAAAGTAATTGATGCATACTTGTAGATACATTGTGAAGTTCTCCATATCTTTTTGAACATTATTTATGTACATAAAACTCGCGTTTGCTTTGTTATATTTTCCCATGAGGTGTTTAAAATATGTCAGTAGCGCCAGAAAGGCATTACTTACACTCCCCAAACCATCGGTATTAGCAATATAATTCTTCCTCTCTTAGGCAATGATGTTCAAAAGGCTACTGTTTTCCCCTAAATTTCCATTTAAAAATACATTATGATTCCATTATTAATTCCCAAAGAGCCCGATCAAAGACAATAACCTTGTACCCTATTACGTAAATGGGACAAAACTATAGTTGGCATAATATTGGGTTTATACGTCTCTGCCTACATACCTACAGGCGGGAGTATATATAAAATATCCATACTTATATTATAAATGTGAAAGAGAGTTTGTTTGTTACGCTTTACGCCTAAATCACTAAACCCATATAAAAACCATTGGAACGATAAATTAGCGGCGAGTAACATAGGCTACTTTTTACCGCGAAAACCGACATACACGCAGGCTTAACCGCGGGCAAAAACTAGTATGAAGTAAATTCTTCTGCATTTTCATTCAGTGTTACAGACTCTTTGAATTATTACCTAAGGTATACAAAAGTTCTGAATCACTGTAAAAATATTTTATGAAACATTTATTAAGAAGCCTTTTTGAGAAATCTTTAATATACTATTGTATGAAATTTGAAAGACTTTAAGACTTAAAAATTAGGTTTTACACCTAATTTTTATGCAGAAAGCCGAAACTTTATAAACGATAGTCAAAGTTTTATGTTACACAAAATAAATATTAAGATGAAAATGTTAAATAAATCCAATACTCTACTTAACATCTCGCTTTGTAAAATTATAAAATTCTTTTATTACGTACTGTCACTTGTATTTCTTAAAAAAACGAGGATTGGTGGCTGATTATAACGTAGAATAACCTATTTAAAATCCTCATAAACGAATGGGTGATGGCAATATTGAAAATCCAGTTTGTTCTCTTTTACATAAGCAGGATCGTCAGAAATGGTGGCTAAGAGTTTTTGGGCAGTCGGTATATACGGAGTTCGTTGCGTTTTTACGACTATTGCAGAAATAAGTCTGCCATCAGAAAATAAACATTTAAGTGAATTAAAAAAAAGGTCGATGAACTTATTATTTACTAAAAACACCTTTTATGTTTATAGGTAAACCGCAATTGGTGACTAATATGGATGGTATTTAAAAATAATATTATGTTTGTTGCAGTGCTCATACGTCAAAGCGTATTGCCAAAGTGATAATAGTGGTTATATGGCTGCTAGCACTTTCACTAGCCGCTCCTATGGCCATGTCTTGGGAGGTCATCATGGAAGATGAACTAGATCCAGGTTTGTAATCAGAATCACAAATTGGTTCAAGCCAAATCCGGGTTTGTAAATGCTGCAACATAAATTGAAATACTGTAACTTAGGATGGCCAGGATAAACTGCAATATTATGTTATTGGGTACCATTGCACACAATAATTAATGTGCATAAATTATAATTTAGGAAAAAAACTTGTTTTCAATATTCGAAGAGAAAGAGCATTTAGTAAAAAAAGGACTAGTCTCTCGGTCTAGCTCTGTTGGTCAATTTGTAGGCCATAGTCGTATTAAAATCAGTCTTAAGAATCCATTTTATTCTTGATTATTGGAAAATAAATATAATAAGCCGGAAGGGATTGTAGTAAACAAGAACTAAACAGAGTTTTATTTGTTCACAGCTACAAAAATCTTTTATAAAAAGCCGTTTTGTGCGCCAAGCGAATTCGGTTCACACTCGCTGTCGATTTACAGACTATTGTTATACGTATTTCAGGTAAGCTTTCTTCATTGATTACTTCTTGTAGTATTTTTGGGTCTGTTTCATACATAACCTATTCCTGCTAAACTTAATATGATAGGACTAGGTAGTATGTGTAATTTGAAATTTGATTATAATTTCTGTTTCAAATATCATATAAAGTAAATAGAATCCAAAACTTTGTAAGATTGTAAGATAAGACTCTCTATAGCTATTCTGGCAGTCAGCAATCCGGTGCAAGTAAAGGACATATTGAAATTTAATGTTGAATAGAACGCCATTTAAACTGCATCTAAGAATCGAAAATGATTTCGTGCCGTCTTCATGTACGTGACATTTTTAACAAAAATAGTGTCTCTATACATATTGAATTGGAGAGTTTCGATATACAGCTATTTTACACAGGTAATTACACTCCTCGTCCGTCCATACAGGCATTATCCTTTTGCTTTCATTACCTTCCTTTCTATTTCAACATTTCTACTGTAAATTTTCATATCTTTAATTTTAAAGCACCTGGGCCTCAATTCTGCTATTTTATGTTTAGCCACTGTCATTCCATTGACACGCTATTGAGATGCTATTGAGACGCCATTGACATCGGTCAAAATTTCAGTAATCTACTAACATAAATTCACAGTGTCAATAGACTGTTGATAGAGTAATATGGGTCATCAATGGTGACATCAACCACATTGCCATACCTGGCCCATTCAATATATAATTTTCTAAAAAAATTAAAATGTACCGTTTACCAAACACAGACATTTGTTTCAGTGACAAGTTATCGGTCATTGGACTTACATAGTTAGTAGAATAGGAAAAGTGCAAAACTATTTCGACGACATTCCATCGACAGTCTATTAATATAATAATTAAATAGCAGAATTGAGGCCCTGGTTGGCATCAAAAGGCTTGCTCCTAATTGTATGAGTTAAATCAAATCAAAATGTGTATTTTTTCTATGCTTCTGCGTACCCTTTTGTTGATACAGACGTACTTTTTTCTGTATCAATATTTCACTGTGTGTGCGCTATTTAGGTACCTATCTGTAAGAGAGATTACTAAATTTTAATATGTGTGGTCATTTTATGCATAGAAGATATAGATATGGAGTCAATAAACAAAACTTTAATATAGTAAATTGTATAAGTTAAATATGAAATTTCTTGTCTGAAAATAATAGTTAAATTAAATAGGTATCTCTGTCAAACCGAATAACCACTCAAAGTACAGTGTTACTGTAAAAAATTTAATTACCAACAGTTTATCAATGCCAAAGTTGTTTGCTGCTGCTCTAATATTAGCACACATGTTACCGTAATGATTTTAGCTATAGTCTAACTAAGATAATGTGAAGGCGTGTCTGCGCGCTGTTAATTGTATAAGCAACAATTTGTGCTTTCTCTGATAATGAAGAAAATCCATCGAAAGTAAAAAAGTAGTTATATCAGGTATGAAAGTATTATGTCGTGAAGTGTAGATAGTGTATGTAGGTATTATGAGAAGCTGACGCCTGTGAGATTTACTAAGTTCTATGGAGAAAAACAGACAAGAGACCGAAAATTTCTCGTTTTCCACATGTTTTATACAATTTTCTGGTTACATATCTCATACAGAAATGAAAATAAACTTTGGCATACACATAAAAATTGAATAGCCCAAGCTATAAACAGCAGAGATGTCATTCCGTCAGCAATAAGATAATATTTTCTTGAAAATCTCACATGTTTATCTGCCTTTTAGTACGTAATCCCACTTTGTGTGATTACCTTTGCTTACGCTCACATGGCTATGAAGCTGTGGGGGGCCCGGGCGCCTGGTAACGCGCAAGAAACACGCGACGCAAATCACATGAGGAACAAGAAAAAGGTAAGCCGTTTTTGACTTTACTTCGAAAATTGTTTTACTCTTAATTCAGTTACAGCACGTGTATAAATGTATAAGCTCACCTATACTACTATCAATAATTAGTAGTAGTACTATCAAGGCCTTAAAGCTTATTACCTTTTACATATTACTTACTCATATCATGCATATTACCTATATGTTTATTATATGTATATAAAGGAAGGTATCAAAAGACAACTTTAAGAACCTGCTGAGAATGAATTAAATTAATAAGGTTACTAGTCCGCCGCAAGCGCAATTGATGCTAAACTTTTATCTAAATACATTTTATTTATCCGCCACTTTTTGTCTCCGGCTCTGTTTGTATCTAGACGTACGGTTTAGATAACCCAGAACTAAGACAAAACTTCATGCATATTATTTATTTATTTAAGTATTACTAAACGTAAATTATTGCCCAAATTATTACATGTTTGCCCAATTTATTACACCTTGAGTAAACTATTAAATATTATGACTATCACAATTTATATAACGAAATGGTGTGTATACCATAATTATAATTTATGTGTTTTGTGTTCCTTTAGATTTGTGTAGTTGTTCAGAAATAATCCAATGCATGCCTAGAATTTTTCATAAAACAAACTGTATTGTCATCGGATCTTAATTCCCATTTAGCACTATAAATGGGAAAATGTAAATGATTTTTTACAATTTACATGCAAAGAGTCACAGGTTTAGTTAATAAAAACATTTAATATACACCGACGGATCTCAAAGGATTGATTCTATTTAATTTTAGGCCATTATTTTGTAGTGATTTTTTTTTACAATTAAAAAGGGTTTCAGTTATTTGCATAGGACAGCAATAAACACTTAAACATAGAGTAGTATGACAAGCCGGAGCTCGTGATTGAGTCAATAAACCGATTACACCTGAAAAAAATGTATTTATTCACGATAACCCGAATAGTGCAAGCAAATGTTTGTGTGAATTGGTGTTCGTTATTACAATTTTCACTTAGTTTCGCTTGCACTGATCGATATTCTTCATAATTGTTTACATACTGTATTTCAAAACTGAAATATCCCCATACTAGATTACGACGAGTCTGTTTTAAACAGCGCTTGTCTGACAGAAAATTCCAGAAGGTCTGTAAAGTTTCTCTCGCAATAATCTGACTGACTTAACACCTTTCTCGAAATTTCTAAAACAACGTGGATCATTCTATAATCCTTGAACTTCTTTTTTTAAATATTCAGTAGTTCAACAAATAAACTAACTTTGGCTGATTGATTACAGATATTGTAGCAGCTGTGTGAAAATGTAGCTTTTTATACCCATTACCATAAGTAAATGCACCAATTTGTTGTGAATGATTCCCGTACCTATTACGCTCGTGAGCAAGTTTTGAGCTCGAAAAGAAAAAAAACTCGAAATGAGAAAGTTTTCTAGGTGTCTAAAATTTATCTAAGCAGTGAAATACTATATACTCGTAGTAGGAATAAGATTTTTGCGGCTTAGTCAAGCTAATTAAAATATCATGTACCTGTTGATCTAGTGGTTAGTGACCCTGACTGCTAAGCCGGAGGTCGCAGGTTCGATTCCCACCCAGGACAAATATTGTGGGATGAGCACTGACATTTTTTTGTTCTGTGTCTGGTGTAATTTATCTATAATGTGTGTGTATTTAAAAATATATAAGTATGTTTATCAGTATAATATATATATATATATATATATATATATAAAACTTTCAGTAATCACATATTCCTGTACTTTTTAACAAGGTATTGGTCTACATATAAAAAATGGTAGAAATTAAATGGATGCCTGTTGTTGACTGGTTTACCGAATATCCGAAATTCGGACAACCTAAAGACCGAATAATTCGATATCTGGCTGAAAATTGTAGATTACCGTAAGTTGTTGCCGCTATCCACTCATCACCAGATTTAAGACAAACTACAAGTTAAGACATATGATGGATTCTATTTGAATTTATAAAAAAAAACTGCCCAGTACTTGCTTCTATCCTTACATAAGTCGCAGCTTTCTCAGTTATTAACAGTTATTAAACCGTTCATACCAAATCACTTTTTCTTCGAAAATTTTATGATGGTATGTTTTGCATGTTTGACTCTCACCAGCCTATTTTTTTTTATTTTATACTTGTTTTATCACTGGTTGTTCAGTCATTTCGTAACACGTAGCCAAAGCATCTATACATTTTAAATTTTTATATTGTTCTTTGTTGTTTTAGTCCTAAACCCATGGAAATAAAACCTTAAACCATAAGAAATTACCACAGTAACTTCACCAGGCACGTTTCAACCATTGAGCTGAAATTCAAAAATATTCAATAACACAAGAACGTGTTACGAATTCAAAATTATTATGGATACGAAAACTCTAATTCAAAAATTGTTACTTCAGTTCGTTACAGGCTACGGTTACAAGCTTCAGGCAAAATCTTTAAGAAATAACAAATAGCAAACATATACATACATAGTTAAGTACAAAACATAAGTTGGTATTATCGTCCTTCCTCTAGACACGGCGAGTATTAACGATAGATTTGAATTGTTTACGACTACCAGCAAACTTTTCGCGTTCTTAAATTGAAGGTCTATCGCAAGTTTTTTTTATATTAATAATCCTCAATTTTCAACAATAGAAAATAAATTAAAATATTTCATAAAAATAAAGAATAATAAGTTACAAAAAACTCTTAGTTAAAAGGTTCGGTAATGTTAGTAAAAAATTATCCGTTTGGTGACGGATTAGAGAATATATATAGAATACAGAGTGTCACCACCCCTATTTATCCCGTGGGTGTCGAAAAAGCCGACTAAGAGAGCAAACTACGCAGGACAACAGCACTGCAAAGAGAAGAAAAACTTGAAACAAACCCTACACGAAACTGGTCAGCGTGGTATTGTAAGCCAAAAGCTCATTTATAAGGAGAGGTCTATGTCCAGCAGTGGACTATTAAAAGCTGTTGATGATGCTGATGAAAAAGGTTCAGCACAACATTTTATTTACACGTGCACAAATTTTATTGGCGGTTATATCGTATTCGATAGCCTACTTATAGATATGCTACCACTTTTACATTTAAAAAAGTTATTCCATAGGATAAGTGATAGTATGTTTTTTTTTATGTTCCACAGAGACAAGTAGGTACATCAAAAAGTGCGAAAGTTTGAACAAAGCCACCAATCATCGGCGCGTTAATGACTCGTGCAGCAAGTTATCTATCTACGAGTATTAAAAGAAAGTTTGAACAAAAATACTGTTCGTTCTATTTTAGTTTCACAGATGTTTCGTTATTATAAAGCTGAGTTTTATTGTAAAGCAGCAAATTGAAGCCAATGTAATTTAAGACGTAAATAAACATTTAAAAAGCATTGATATTTCAGGTACAACGTGCGGTACGTCGAGATTATGTATTCGTGTCTGGTATTTAGGTACGTTCGAGACTCAAAATGTTTGAGTTAAATTTACTTACTATATGTTTGTCAACAACAATGTTGCTTGAAAGTAAATAACTATAGGTACTAATTACCTATAGTTATTTACTGTCAAGGTATATTTTGCTCAACTCGACAAAAAATCACAACAAACACTTTCTTGAAGAGGTCTCTTAAAAGAGGTTTTTTTTTAAGAATTGATGTTATAAAATAAAAATCTAATCGTTTCTCACTTTACAATATTTTGACATTCATGTTCATACTTATATTACAACTAAAGAAACGTACTGTTGTTAAACAAGTTTCACATGAAATAAAGTTTGGAAAAGTCTTTTAATTGTTTTGTACAAAATATAATAAATTGTGCAAATTTATTAATTTCAACAGTTTCAAGAGTTATTAATTATTATACTGCTGAAATGATTATGCGGATTTTAGTTCTACGAGTAAGTTGTACGTGGTTACATCCGAAGTTAATACCTTGTAAAGGAATTTATTTTAGTCTTGATTCGAAAGAGCGCAACCCAGCACCTCTTCGTTAATCCCGGTGTTATCAAGTTATCAAGAATTATATTTTTGTTGTTTATGTTTATTTTTTAAGAGTAGTCTTACACTTACGAGATAATAACTTATCAAAAGTTGAATTTAATTCAATTTCATCAAAGGGTTTGTTTTTAAGAACAATAAAATATAAATTGGATGATATGTCGTGAATCTTAAACACTCAAAAATATAATGTAATAATGTAATAGTAGTTATTTTAATTTTCGTTTAAGTTGTTTAATCTTAAAAATATTTTTATATATCAGTATGAATTTCTTTTAACAGAGTTTCACAATTATCTTGAATATTTTAATGTTTATTTTTTGTTGTAGATATGTCCCTTAATAATATGGCTGGTTTTAAATTTATAGCACAATGACACTGATTATAATCAATATAGATAATCTATGTGATTTTCGTTTTCAAAGCAAACCACAAAGACTTTATTTATTTTTATTGGAACAACAATTAAGTTTTTTTAACGAAATTATTAAATATAAAATAAAATCACCTGCTTTAACACTCGTGTTCAACAAATCAGGACCATTTTGCCAATTTAAAAGTAGATAAAAAAAGTATATTAGAAAATGGCTCGTCGCTATATACTCGTATTTGAATGCTTTGATTTGAAAACGAAAACTGTTTTTAAAATATTTGGATGGGTTGGCTCAACTGTCAACCAACCACGTAATCCTTTATTTCGAATGATCTAAAGATCTAAGATTACAATACCGTCTAGTCTATTTTTTTTAAATATATTAAATCGATGTGATTAATAATTGACCCAGAAAGCATTTTTAACTTTTAATAGCATATTAGTTCAAAACAATCAAGAAAGCAATAAAACGCGATGAACGTCACGAAAGGCGTCAGTTCTTTGAACAAATTAAAACTTACCATAAACTGCATCTTTATGTCGTTAAAATGTTGCTCCTTTCTGTACATTAATTTAAAAGCTCTAACGACCTAATAAAAACTGATTTACTGATGAAGCTGTATTTAAC